TTAATAAATAAATTATTAATGTGAAGAAACTAACGTGTGAAGTATTTATTTCCTATAAAATTCATTTTTTCATGTGCTATTATACTTTACGAATGTAAATATTCAACAATGTCTGGCAATCAAAATAAATAGAAATGCAACGAAAAATCCAATCTAAAAAATAAATAGAAATTTTATATTTTAGAAAATATCAATCACAAATTAAAATGCTTCCTTATGAAATTTATATCATATGAAAGAGAAAAGTTTTAGCTGTTTAAAGATATAAAAATTGTTACTTTATATTGCAATTTTTATTAATAGCGTTTAAATTTCAAAGTTCAAATAGGCGTTTTATATGTAATAAAGTATCAAAATATTTAGAGTATGGCTTTCGACAAATTAAAAAATAATACGAGCGTAACATCAAGCATCGTAACATCAAGCAAAAACAAGATTATATTTAATACACTTCACAACAGCAATATTTTCTATATAAAAGCTATATGAAAATTATAAGCTATACAACCTTCCAAAAATTAATAAATGAAATTATATATTTAGTGCATTAAATTCAAATTTAAATAATTTATATTGTTGTTAATAAGCCGTTAAATGGCGAGACATTGCTAAAACAAAAACTTATAATATGCAGACTTCACGCGTTAATAATGTTTGAACACGTTGACTTACAGACATTAAACTTGTGTGAAATACTTCACCTCGTCAAGGGTTTTAGATTGATATTAAATTTATCAATATAGGGCCACTTTGTACGCACTTAGTCAGTTTCCTATAGGAGCACAGAAAAATACGCCCGACGCACTTCAGGGCTGTCTTCTCCCTCCTTAATAAATACAGCATCATAACCCCTATACACAGTATCGCGGGACTAACACTGTTAACAAACGAAAAGAAAAAAAAAAAAAAAAAGAATGACTCTAAAAGGCATTGCAAAGCGCAGTTTGAAAGTTTCTGAGTATATGGTGAATCTGAAGAAAACGCATACTTATCTCGCGTTGAATTCTAACTATACTAAAATTAATCTTAAGGCTAATGCCGTGGGCAATTAACAGCAGCTGGGAACCCTCTCTAATCCCGTTTGCTTATCGTCTTAAGTGGAATTAAGCGTTTTTATACACTGAACTTCCGATTATTGGAAATAATTAATGTACAGTTTAGTTCGAACAATTCCGAAATAGCTTTTACTGCATTGACACCATAAAAAGTGAATTTTTGAGCCTAAAAGTGTAGTTTATTAAAACTTTACAGAAGTTTTAATAAACTACTTGCTTTTAGGTAATCTGATAAAAACTGCTTAAAACTATAATGTTATTAAATTTTAATTCTGTTTATTCACCTATATAGCCTATGCAATACTGTAAAGACCAATTGTGGCAATTCTTGCCATTTCCCTGTCATTGCCATTAACCCTCTTTATTTCTTCTAATGACTTTTCTTAAGTTAGTGCATCCAAAGTGTTTTGGTCTTATAAAATCGTACAGCTTCATCGTTTCCGTCCTTTTACATTTACACTTTTATACTTTCTTCATTTGCATTTTCAAATTTTTTAACTCCAGAAATAGTTCAAAAAGACTTTTATTATATACTTTATTGGTAAAATATTTACATTACACCAATATCATGGAAAGGTTTTTTTACAGCTATAAATAAGCATTAAGTTCTTAACTTCATTCCAACCTTAGCAATGAAATTCACTGCATGAGAAATGTCAGATTTCTTCCAAACCGTCTTAAGTGTTCTATCCTTTTTAAAAATAAATGTAGAATATTTGGAGGGAAAAGAGGGGCGGATTATACGCGAACGGTTAATCTCCGTTCAATGTATTAAGTCACGTTCAAGGTTTTTTATGCTTACTTTCTTATCTGTGGATTTCTAGAATGAAGCTCTAAAATGTACAAACGAATAAAGAAATTGCGACTCTTATACGAACATAACGAAACTTTGCAAAATAACGCACCGTTATAACAGTCTTGTAGACCGTTACAACTACGAGAGTAGACTCTCTTACTCTTTTTTACAAATTATAGACTTTAAAATCCTGATGACTGATGTAGTTGTGGTGAAATGCGTCGCGATATGTTATCATCTAACCGTCTAGAAAATTTTAAATTTTTTCTAACATTTGTGAGCTTGTACTTACACACATATGTATGTAATTAAAAAAGAGAAAAAATATGTAAAATTATAACAACCAAGCGTGGCAAATTCTCCAACATGAAAGAATAAATTATAAACCATTGAAGAAAAAACTTGGAAAACAAAATTGAAAGAAAAGGGAAGTAATGAAAAATAAAATATTAAGCAATGATTAGTTGTTAATAATAAATAATTATTGATAATTCCGTGATCTTTGTCAAACAGCAACCCAAAGAATTATTAACAGAACTATGTTTCTGAATTATGTCTGGATTAATTGCTTTGTTAAATAAATTAAAATTATCTAGAAAATTCTTTTTTAAATTTAAATTTAATGTAATAAAATAGAAATGTATGATTATAAAATTTTAAGTATTTTAAAAAAATGATATAAAAAATTTTAATGATATAAATGATATAAAAAATTTTAAAATAGGGAATTTTTAAGAAATGTTATTCTTTTAGAATTTCTTATAAAGCACATTAAGACATTTTGCGCATTTTTGACTTCCTTTGAATTTTTTGACGTAAAAACTATATGAATATAAATAATGAAATTAAACTTCAAATGACTTTCTTTGGAATTGCTTTATAATATCCTAGGGATTAGATTTACGAATATGCATTTTAAGTGAATTTAGTATTAAGAAGGTAACTGTCAACTAAATATTGTTACTCCAAAATGAGAATTTGCCAGAGAAGTTACAAAAGTTTCTTCTCATAATAGTATCATTTTTCAGCTAATAAGATTACAGTGGAACAAGAAATGAGGAAAACGTTACTAAAATTTCAACTATAACTATGAAATCTGTGGGCAGACTGTTATATCTTTCGATATTGCAACTTCGTTTTGTCCCAAATCTGGACTTCTTATCGCCCTGTCGTGAATTATTAATTCACTTAGACCTGTTTTACGAAAATTCGTAGATCTTTCCTGTGTTTCCTTTTTAAGCAAAACATTTGTTTCAGTTTCGAAACAATTTGCCTTAATTTATCACGATTCTTGCCCTTTTAAGTATCAGAGCAAATCAAATCTGCAATTTCTTTCAAAAATTAAACACGCGAGGGTCAAATCAACAAAAATGGAAAAATAAAGTTTCGATTAACATCCAATTGCACATAAAGGTAGCAATTGTGTTTATGATTAAGACAAAAATAGTATTATGTACAAAGAGGGAAGCACTGCGTAATTTTTGCAAATTACATTTGCGTCAGTAACAAACTGTTGTTTAAAGCTGAAAAGAAACTGATAAAACTTGCATAAATAAGGTATATGGTAAATTGCATTAATGAGGCAATAAAACTTGCAAACTTGGATTAATAAGAATGGTGTGTGACTAGCCAATGATTTGCACACAAAATGTTTGTGTGTCACAAAGTGTTTGTGTAAAGGTCTGGGCACACATTCACAAAACCTTTGCTGCGATTGTCCATGCTTTTAATGAGGTGATCAACTATCTCAGCTATTCCTCTATGCTAGCAATGTCATTCTTCTATTATGGCAGTATCTAACTGTCTGAGACTGGCTAGAGGAGGTAAACGTGCACTGAAAACAATCCCGAGGGCATTCCAAAGATTTTCAATAAGATTAAATTAGGTAAATAACACAACTACTCCATATGAGAAATGCCTTCACACTCCATATACGCGTTAACGATATTGGCGCGATAGGGACGAGAATTATCATCCATAAGGATGAAACTAGAACTGACTGCTGCAATGTAGAGTCTCGCAGTGGAGTGTAGGACTTCATGCTGATTCCACGCAGCCTCCAAAAAACCTGCAGATGCAGCTGTGCAGAAGATATGCAGCTGAGTGCGATATTTCACTGAAATTTCAGCCCACATCATGATCCTGCCATCTCTGAATGTTTGATTTTGTTCTGGGCTTGATTGCAAATGCCTCGTTCTCTCCAGACTTTTACAAACTTATCTTCTGATTTTAGGGAAAATCTGGACACATTCTTAAACAGGACACTGTGCCAATCTGAGACAGTCTAAATCATATGTTGACGACACCACTTTAATCTTTCCGTTTTGGATTGGGAGGTTAGTGGGATATAAACATTTAACAGTCGGGAGCCTGGTCTCTTCATGTGAAGACTTTGGCGTATTATACTGGCAGATATTGGCGTACCAAGTGGCGTTACAGCCGTAAATGTAACAGTTGTGATAATAGTCGCTCGTCGATTCCATTTGGTTACCTTAGCAGTATATCGATCTTCAGAAGGAGTGGTAAACTTTGATCGATTGGAAAGCGGTTTCCGGACTACTGTTTGACTTGTTTGGAATTATTTTCACATTCGAGAAATTACCGAATGATCAATGTCAAAGAAAAGAGCAACATATTTGACATCTTGTATTGTCTGCCCTATTTCTATGCGTCCGAGAAAGCCAGCGCTCACTATCTGCCGCTCGTTCTTCTAGCTACAGAAGCCCGAATATCATCAAAAATTATCCTGAAAAAGTTATAAAATGTTCGTATCCGCATTTAAATGAACCATTTCAAACTTCAAAATACAGACATTTTCAACGACTGCCTGATTAGCATATGTTCGGACAGTTAATCGTGAATGCCTGCAACATACGATCTTACGTCACCAGCAATTTTCAGCCACTCCAATTCAGCTACTCTTTCGAAAATTACTAATTTGTATTCCTTATTTAACTTTTGTATGCCAGTGTGGAAAGAACACTAGTTCTTCCTTCCTTTCTGCATATCTATCTTTTCTGAAAAGCACATATATTTTCATTTTTGCATTTTCAGGACTTTTTCTTCATAAGTTTTCAAATTACTCTTACTTTTAAAATTGCATAATATCCTAATTTCAACCAGCTCAGCTCTTTTTATTGTTCTTTCAGGATAGCGAATCCGCTTCCGAAGCTGATCAGCATGCTTGGTATTCTGAAGTAGTGGAGAGGCTAAAGAAAGCTGACCAATACCGAGCTAGGAGCCATACAGGTGCTCCTCTTTATGGATCTGAACAACTGCCGTTGGATTTGCTCGTGCGAGATCGTACTATCTTATCTCCTGTTTCCGTGGCGTCTTCATCCAGGTACACAGTAATCATTTTGAGATCATTTCTTGCAAGTACACTTGTTGTAGACTTAAGTTTATTTTTCTCCTAAAGTTTTGTAATATTTCTTTGGCGAAATGAAGCAACTCCAATGATGGAACACAGCAATAACTTTTATTTAACACTAAAAAAAATGGCGACATACAAACAAGAAGAGAAAACATATTCTAAGTTTTAAGCTTAAAGTTTATAAGCTCGGCTTGCTCATTTGCTTAAAGAGAAAAGGTAACTTCTTTAATAAGTTTCCAAACTTCAAGCCAAAATTTTTAAGTTTTAAACAAATATTTTTACACCACATTTAAATAGGAAGAAAATGGACAGTGTTCAAATTAGTCTTCCTTTTTTTCCTTGACGGCGCCTAGATCTCTTCCATGTTGGACCAGTTCCTCGGCTATAATTCATAGCAAAACCTTTCCTCAGTTCATCTGTGACTTTCGGAAAATATTCAATTGTCATTTGCTTTCGACAATTGTTTTCTTCGTCTATTAGTAGCGGCTTTGATATTAAATCAAAAGCCGAAATATGATGATAACGCTGCATTGCAAAATGATTCTCAATATTAATTTCTTTATCGTTTTTCAAATTTTCGTGAACCTCTTCCACGTTTAATTCTGGTGATTTAACTTCTTCTTCAAATACATCTCTGGATGCTTTATTTTCTTCCTTCATCGGTTCCAAGATCTGCTCTTCAGCTATTTTTGTTTTCCTTTGAGCTCTAGTAGAAACGGCATTAAAATGGTACCACTAAGTTTACGTTCAAGTGATAAACTAATAAAATAAGGCAGTTCAGTGTTAACAGGAAGTAATAACCTGATATCACTAATATTATGTTCAGTAATGAACTAATAAAAATAAGACAATTCAATATCAACAGGAAGTTACGTTCAGTGATGAACTAATACAATAACGCAATTCAATATCAACAGGAAGTTACGCTCAGTGATGAACTAATAAAATAAGGCAATTTAATATCAACAGGAAGTAATAATCTGGTATCACTAATATTACGTTCAGTGATGAACTAATAAAATAAAAATACGCACGATTATTCGATCTCGGTCGGTGCCTCCAAAATAATTAAGACTGTGATACTTCTTTGGCGATATGAAGCAACTCCAATGATGGAACACAGAAAAAACTTTTATTTAACACTCAAAAAAATGGCAACATACCGAGTCTGGTTTCAAATATTGCCATTCACAAATACCTTAATGTTCATCTATTTAAATTATTTAAACTACAAGATTTTAATATTATTTAAAGCTGTTACAGTTTCTTATATTTTCCAACTATAAATCTAAATTAGTATATCGTCGGAAGAACGCATTACTTCTGAGTTTACCAAGATTTCAGGTGGTTGTAACCATGTAGGCAGGTAATTTAATGAAGAATATTTTCGCATTTATTCTTCGTTTATGAAGAAACTTAATGCAAAGCTTTTCCGACTAAACATCTACACGGAAACAGTCGGATTTGCATGAAGGCATTTGAAAATGGTTGACACATTTAAAATATATGCCTGGAGAGAATATCGATTGCCAACATATAAAAAGAAAGTGATTACTTGAATACCGCAGTAAAACTTTAAAAAAGGCAGTTTTCATTCACTTCAAAATAATAAGTTACGCACAGACACAAAAAAAAAAATAGAATACTTTGCACTTTAAAATGAGAGATTATATGTGATACACAAGATAGTACTAAAATCCTGGAAAAATAAAGGCCCACCAGCGGCCGAGCGGTAAAGACGCTGAACACTGGTAGTTAGGTCCAAGGTTCGAATCCCGCGAACGGGCTGGCTGCATGGGCGTTTTCGTGGTTTTCCCCATGTGTAGCGTGTATACGAGCCAGTTTCCCTTAGAAAGTCCTACACGAAGGCATCCCTCCCTTTAGGCAGATAGCCCTCGTCTGCTTTGCCATAACTGAATAATACCAACACCTGGAAAAATAATTAGAGAAGCTATAGTTTACAAAAAATAATGAAGTTCCTGAGACTGGGATTCTTAGAATTAAATATCAGATAAGCTTTAAAAAAATTAAAGGGCCATAAATATTCCTATTTCCTAATATATAAACCTCATTTCATCTAAATTATTTTCGTGAACAAGCTTTTCATATGCTTCTTTGTTTTTATTAATTAAATTTTATTACCAAATTTATACTATCACTTACATTAGTTAGAATTTATTATACTGGTTACTAAATAAAGTAGTTTACTGCTATTACAAATAGAATAATAAAAAAGTATTTTTCAATATTCGTTAGTTTGTAGATAAATTATAACAGATAATAGGCACAATTTGTAAAACCACAATGTAGTAAGAAATGAGGTCAAATAATTTATTTTGCAGGCATGTTAGCATATTAGCCTATTATATCGCGAATATAGAAATATACGGATCATTCAATATCACAGTTAATACCGACAGTAACAAATTTTTGTGCTGGTGATTTAAATTTAACAAATTAGGAGTTGTCCTAGACTTCTTTCTTAGAAAAATTGAAATACTAAACCAGCGCTTTAAAATGCTTTCATGCTAAAACAAATTTTAAAAATTCTGCCTTACATTACGTTTTTGCTTTCAGTAATGCAAAATAGCTTCTTCGAAATTTTCTGTGAAATTGGTACCTAAATCAACAGTTTTCACTCTTATCTTTCATGCACTTTATTTCCTTTGCTCATATGTAAATTAGTAACACAGAAAAGCACAGAATGTAAACTTCACCATGTTTTGTAAATATTTAACTTTTCATTAGCGTTTGAGGCCAGATTTTGGATTGTCATCATGAAAACCAATTTTGGTGAAACAACGGTGTTGGAAGTAAATCTGGTATTTCTTAGATATTTTCCTGATTGCTCAAATTATGATCATTTTATTAAATCAAATAGTTTTAGTAAAGTATGCAGTAATTTAAAAAGACTACGTAAAGGAAGATTCATATTCTGCATTGCGCGAAATACTCATACATTTACAAGGAATATGAACACATTGAATATACTCATCTATTGTTTCTTTAATGAAGGTTGCGAATAGAACTTAGGACGTCATAAATAATCGACTAAGCAAATTTTTTGCACTTTTATCAATCAAAACCCTGATTACATTTGTTGCTTATATAGAAACCGTTGAGGCTAGGGAACATTAGAGGAATTATGGGAATTTGGCATTGCACTAAGCAAGAAGGACATTAAGCAAGCACAGAATGAGTAACAAAATGGCGCCGATGTATGCAGGATTACGATAATTTTTTAAGCTAGAAGAAGAACAGTGTTTATGAAACGTTATAAAAGAAGGTACTCACGTACAGTAAAAGGTAATTTAAATGATACTGTACGGAATTTGAGTTGGCTAAGTTATGAAAGTGATTTTAAAAGAAATTATTATTACAAACATCACTGCTCTATTTTAGGTCCGATAATAAAGTGACAAAAAATAAAATCAAATGTATCGTATAAAGAACTCACATCTAAACACATATCTAGAGGCTTTTTTGTATTTTGCGCTTTCTGTTGAGATATTCTAATCTGAATTCGATTATGGTTGTGGTATTCATTTATCAACAAGTATACAGATTTACATTTATATTTCCAAGAAATTTGTCATAACAAATACTTTAACAATTTTAGCTGCATACAAAGTTAATTGTTTTACAGTATTTGCACAAAATCTTCCATTTTAAGAACAACCATCAAAAAGAATCAACACGGTGGATCTCTTAATATGCAGAAATGTGTTTCCTGTAGTAGAAAATATCATGTTCTAGCTCCAATCTATAAAACATTGCTCCTGTGGGTAAGGAAATAGTTAAAGAGCAAAATTTCACGAAATGTGCACTAAGACATCACAGAAAGGATTTAAGATTACTTTTTTCATTAAGAACAAATATATCAAAACAAGCAGCGCATTTATATTTATGGGGTTGTTTAATCATTATAGCAACTTTTAAACTTAACTCATCATTAGCATAAACAAATTACAAAACGAAAATCATAAAATAGTATGTAAGCAAAATTAAATAAGTAAAATGTAAGGTTCAAGATTTAATATTTATCCCAGATTTCAGTAGGCTCCATTTTGTTGACAAAATGGCATCTTTATCTGTACTGTCCTAAAATTAAGGGTTTTTATATATTGTCGTTTCATTTGATTATAGGAGCTCATTTGAGTCGTTTCATTTGATTATAGGAGCTCATTTGAGTCGTTTCATTTGATTATAGCCGACCTTTCTTGGGGATCTAAAAATTGTTACATGCACAATTTTAGTTTATATTTTAAATAGCTTTAGAAGTAGTTATATCCATTTCTGCTTTCTCACAACAGAAGTTCCCAAAAAAAGGTACAGTGCAAACAAAAAGTGAACTATCGTTTCCAGACATGATGCCATTGCAAAAATATTGTTTTCAGAGAAATCATGTGGAAGGTTTTATTAATTATTACGTCAAATCAACTGAATGTATCTTTATTTTATTCAAGTCATGAGAAAGATCTTCCAGTCTTGAACTTCAAATTGATTTGGAAAAAATAAAGTTCTTTTAAATGAATGATTCACAGGAGTTAAAATTAACTGTTAAATCCCAATAGATAATACAGAAAAATTTATTGAACAGGATAAAATCTGTTCAATAAATTGCCAGAAGCAATCTTTCTCACAAAATTTAACAGCATTTTAAAATTTTGGAAAGCCGTAAAACAGTAATACATCGCCAAATCTAGTTATAATTTACATATGCTCAACTGATTATTTCACATTGATTTAGAAGTTCTTTTTAACATCATGTATTTTTATAGAGATAAAATACGCGTGCGGTTTTTTTGCCGTATTGCTTTATTGATAATCCCATTGTTACATTGAGATTCTTCCTCAGTTTTCCTCTAAATGTGAGAATTACAATTTGAAGTAAAATTATCAACTTTATTTATATCAGTGATCACTTATTAGTCGTTTCGTTTACTGATTTTTCCAAGTAGCTGTTGTAAAAATATAACTATTTTTACCTTGATTGTTTCTATACTGTACTACATGTGAACTATACATTTAATCTGTAATCAGATTAAATTTATAGTACTGCTTGTGATTGTCATATCAAACATGTATTTTTTGCACAACGCGAAAAGCATTTCCCTTCAGTGAGATGGTTTAACATTTTCTGAATTCAGATTGAAATTTTCAGACATTAAGTATTTTCCTTTATGTATAGGCTTATTACATTAATTTGCAATCATAAAAATTCACAAAAACTTCATATATGAACTGTCGTAAAAGTATGAACAAGCACTAAATGGAAAACAGGTTGGTTAAACGTAAATAATGAATACAGTGTAACTATTGAAACTCATAAATGATTAAGTGCAAGCAAATTCAGATTTATCGTGTGACTATTTGTTTGTTGTTTCACATTTATGTTGAGCAGTATTTTGAAATTTCGGAAAGCCTCAAAATAGCGATGCCAGATACCGTTATATTTACATATTTATCTGCCTATTTATAGAAACTTAATTGCTGAGCGGCACCATCTCTCTGCACGAAGCTCCGTCACTCTATAATCATGTTCTCTGCTGCGTCATCAGGTTCTAAACCATTACGTATATTCGAAAATTATGAAGAGTTCGTGATTGAAAGATCTGTTAGAAAGCCATATGAATATATATAAATTATGCTTCATTAAGAGGAAATCACTAATATCAGAACACAAAAATTTTGCAAGAAACACGAATTTGTGACTTAACTATACGACTTCATCGTCGTTCCGACTGCAGTCCATATATTTCGCTTATTTTCATTCCAAACCATTCGAGGAGTACAGATGCCTCTGCATAAGGTTAAGGAAATGAGCAAAGCTATATGAGAATTGTAATTACAAACATGTGTTAAATATACATAATAACAGTTCCTATGTAACTGTGAACATCGTAGACGTAATAATTTAAATAGCTAAAAATGATAGCAATTGCAATTGATCACCGGTGAAGACTTTGCGTATTCTAGCACCCAATAAGTTTTTTTCTTTTGCTGATGCATTCATTTTGCGTATCAGATTTTCTAGTCAGCATTTTGAAATTTATAAGTATTTCATAGTATATTTGCATTTGTAAAACAAATCTATTGCAAGCAGTCACAAACAGATGTCTTTCTTTTTGTGTCATTCATTTTGAATTACTCTTTTTAGCACCAAAATACTCTGTATACTGCTGATAAATATGCAGATATATAACATTTGGGTACTATTACTTTGTATATAGTATGAAAATATTATTAAGAAGAATCTAGCTTTCTTATATTGAGGAAGAATTAATAAAATTTGAAAAAGTTCATTAAAAATATGAAGTGTTTTCTTATTAAAGTATTTTCATTGTAACCATTTTATTCCTTTTCTTCCGTAACAAAAAATGAATAATTTAATCTGCTTATTTAATATACTGAAAAATATGTATATACTTATTAGATTCCATGTATTGCCACGTTTTACCCATCCATTCTTAAATATTATAGGATTTAAACAATCTTTTCACAAATACATTCTGGTAACTAATTTTTTTATTCATAATCAACATAAATTTGCTCTTCTAAATGGGATAAAGTTAGCATTTTAAATTAAATTTTAAAGAATAAAACTGTGGATTTTTGTTGGTTTTGTAGAATGAAATCGTTAAAGCGTTTTACATAGTTATTGTTGCAGCTGAAAGGTTTTTTGTGCTTCAGACGTACATGTTCAGAATCAGAACCAAAAACTTTTTTATCAAAAGCAGAATCTTTAACGCAATTGTAAATGATAAAAACCTTTTAAGGTAGACGTATGTTTTAAGTAAATTGAGACAGAAATGTTTAAAAAAATGGTCATTTGAATCATGTTGTATCAAACCGTGTAAAGAAGGAACTGAAAGTTTTTTAAACCTTAGTTAATATAAAATTTAACAAACAAAAAGCGTCCGTGTAAAGCAGAATTGTGTATTTTACCCTTCTGAACATTTTTCCTGCTGGAACTAATGTTTCTCCTTCTCTCTATGCTCATAAAATCATTTTTTTCCTACTTTCGAATATTTTTGGGTCAATACATTATTGTTCTTAGTGTAGCTAATTTTTAACTTGTCGCGCGTTCGTTCCTCGTGCTTCTGATAGAAGAGAAACAATGTTAATTTTCTCAGGACGTGGAAAGATGAGCGACCTATCAAGGAGAGGGGCCGTCCTGCCCCTGTGCCTGTTCATCATCGCAAGGAAAAAAAAGAACCCACGTAAGTATACCCGCCAAGCTTTACCCTATAATCCTTGCCACTGTGTCCTGTTAGATAGCATGTGTAGCTTTTATCTAGAAATGCGCAGTCTGGAATAGGTTAATAGTTGTTTATTTGTGCTGTTTTAAATTTGTTAATTTAAATGTTATTAAATTACTCCGTATCAGAACCTTATTCAGAAAACATACCTTTTCTTTAACACTATTAACACTATTTATTGCGCATTCATACATACCTAAGCATTACAAATGGCGTAAACCTAACTTCATTACTAGGCAACGACACATATTATGATAAGTTTATGTTGTGGTATAACTAACTATAAATACATAGGAAAATTCTTTGCTAGGCAGCTACACAACACAAAGCCCAGCTCTAAGTTATAAGCTAAAAGTTATTAAAAAGTCAATCTGAAGAAGACACCGTGCGCTATCGAAACCTGCATTTAGAATAATGTTAAACGAATTACTTACCGTGAAGTTTACATAATTTATGAAAATGAAATCGTTGCGATGGTTCTTTCTCGGTGAATTAATTTTTCACTATTGGATGCATTATTGCTAAAGTTTATTAAGATAATTACGTTCTTTTTACATGATCTTATCTCTCGGTGTGTTTTAATCAGTGTCATTATCATAAGATTTGGATTTACTCATTTCGGCACAACATGCTAAGCTGCATGTCAGTGCCTACAACGGAATATGCATAACAATGTCGAATAATTTCTGACTTTCATCATAGCATCAAATATAATTTTCCTTAAACATTTAATTACTTGTTAAATTTAAAAATCTTATTTTCACCTTTCTTGAATCTTTTGCTTTAAAATACAAATATTGCATTTAATTATTAATAAACATTGTAATGCGAAATAATAGTATCGAATAATATGAACATCTGTAGAAAATCAAGTAAGACATCACTTACAACGCATTAACTGTCATGTTATCTTATTAATTTTATTATTCTGTTTGAAATTATAAAGTGAACTTTATGAAATAACTTGCAGTTCAATTTCCCGAAATGTGTTCATTCATTGCTCTAAAATCAAAACATTTTACTCATCTATCTAGACTGTGTATTTCATAAAGCTAGACACTACTTAGAATATAAATGTGGATAGAAATGTGAAAGTTTTAGGTTTAAGTACCGTGTGTCACTTAAGATATAGAATGTAGTTGCAAATTGTTTAGAACGATGCATGATATTAATGTAGAATGTAGTAAACATTTCTTTTACTTAGAACGTGAGAAACATATTATCATTTGAATATTTATCCTCCAAGGAGTTTACAGAAACAAATGTTCGGCAACATGGCGTACACTTTGACTCATACCTAAGTTATCATTTCTAGATCCTTTATAACTCCTTTATTTTTTGTATGACTTTGTTGAAATTGGTATCATTACGCAGTACATGCTTTGAATTTTTTTCTTTTTTAATTTTAAAAACCCGCATAAGTTTTGTGCTGTCGATGTATTTCCTTAAATACAGGTTTGCTACTGCCGAGTGCAAAACGCTTTTTCAGAATTTCGAACAAATGTTTTACATGATAGATTCAATTTTAGATTCGAGTTGATATAAATGTGTTGATTTCGAACAGAATCTGTTACAGCATTTTCGAATTTATATGATGTTATGCTCGTCTGTGAAACTTACTCTGAATTTAATTTAATCTAAAAATTAATCAGTAATTCAGTGTCCTCAAAAAGTTACACCTGTGAAGCATCGTTCTTTACTAAACTCGCTAATTCACTAAGCTAATAGGTGGGATCTGCCAAGTGGAAAGATTATTACTCTCTTAGGTAGCAACTGTAAAAATAAGAGAGAAACAGATATAAAAACAGGTTATAAGATTTATTAAGATCTATAACTTGGAGGCATGCATAATTAAATTATAATTTGAGGGTTGCGCTATCACTTGCAGACTGTAGGTAAACTACAATCTTAATAAAAGAAGTCCTTTCGTACAATCTTAATAAAAAGAAGTCGGTAGTTTGTCAAATAGATTTCCAACTGAAACAGGCAAGTGCAGATCCTGAACGTCTTGGATATAAAAAAGTAGCACTTCCTACTACAAGTTCTACCTCTGTTTCCCGATTTCCATTGCGTCATATTAAGCATTCATTAGATCTGCAAACTTCTGGACGAGATTGAGTTAAAACAAAGAATAGATTTTCATATATTAAAGATTCATATATATAGATCGAATTGTATATGTGTTGCTAGGGCAGTACTAGAAACAATTTCGATTTCAAGTAGGTTCAAAATTCAAACAAGAATAATTGGAGAATTTAAAATGAGCTAAATATATAAAATACCGATTAAAACATTCATAAGCAATATACTTCATAACACTTGTTATCATAAAAATTAAGAGATAAGACATTTCAACAGTGCAGCTACGAGAATAATACATACAATACATACATCAGTAAATCTTGAAAATAATTTCCTCTATTTGTCTTCCTTTTGCTTGGATGCGCTGCTCAAGACAGGATGGGTTCCGTGACGCTTCTCGGCATATTCTGTGAAATAGCATGTACTTTTAACGGATGACTGTAGTCGTCCTTAACGGATGATTGTACTTAACGGACGACTATATTCGTCAATCGTCCGCAAACGGTCTATAGAGACACTGTTCTTCAACTTGAAATTACTCTAAAGTAGGCAATCAATCAAATCGAGGAAGTACAAAATCGAGAATTTCTAAGTACATTTCAGAATATAACTATATTTGAGCGGGACGTCGCGCTGTCCTTTTGGAAACAGATTGTATATTTCAACTCTCTTACCTACAATTTTGCCAACCTTCATTGTTCCACCGGTGCGTTTATGACAAAGCCTGTAGTTTTCACTAATGCAATCCGTAACTACACTACAGTCTATGTCATACTAATTTTCTGAATCCTAGCTGTCCACGGATGTAAGTATGCTGCGCAGATGCAAGTACATTATGGCAAGGTTGCTTACTCCGATAAGTAGATAAAATATGTGCCATACTATGTAATCGGAAAGTTCTCATTGCACAAGAATATTTCGTGACTCGTAATTAAAATTTGTGTTCGTAAGCCATGGTTATACGAGTATGCATAAACTTTTAAATGCACTGAAGAAGAAAACTAGTTACGAGACGGAATTACATGACTTAGTCTGATGCCAGAAATTTTCTCGAAAATCCCTCTCGAGGCTCATCTCTTATACTTTGGGAATGGCTGGAATGAACTAAAGTGGTGAATGCAGAACGTCCAGGTTTAAAGACATTGCTGTATACTATTACTTGAATGACTTCAAAAATTTACTGTCTGTGGATATTTCCTCCTTTATTACACTTTCCCGTAAAATATCTGCAGACGCACTTGGAAGAAAGCACGCAGTTTTTTCTCAAGTGGATTCAATTACAAAGCGAATGTAATCCAAAATGTAATTTTTTTAGTTTGTGATCATATAAAAATACCTTCTTCGATTTTACTATAATTTATGTGACCGAAAACTCTTTCTCAGGAATATGAATTAACCAGTTATATATCCATTCCTTAACGGATTTTAAGAAATTCTGGTTTAATATGAAAGGGAAAAAAGTATAGTTTCTAAAGACACGTATGTTTTTTATTGGAAAAATTAGTTAATAATGCTTGTTTCGGCCAATGCTTTCTGAGCATTAATTCAGTTTCCTTATACATAATAAATGGGCATTCAGATCAATTTAATATTCCTTTAAGTTTTTCTTTATATCAATGAATAAAAAATACCACAGAAATCGAGCAAAATTAGGAGAAAGCTGGATTCCATTTTCTAGGAAGAAGCTTTAAAATCTAGTTTAATAAGGGGTATTTCCATATGATTCACAGTATGAATCACTCTCAAAAACATGTTCAGCACATGAGCCTCTTCATCTTCCCGTGGTTGCGATTTTTAATATTATTCTGACAACTTATCAAGAAAATTTCATTTAATAACTAAATGAATATACAAATTTGCTTCACTTTGTTTAACTGAATATTTCTTGTAATTTGCGTTTAAAATTATGAGGAAAAAAGTCTGAAATGGTTCAGATTTTAATGATCGTCCAAAAGAGCGCTTTTAAAATTTAATATGATTTATCAGCAGGAATTATCGATAAAGATGGCCCGCGCGGAATAACGAAACATTTTACAGGATATTTAGATGAATTTGCATTTAGACTATCATGAGAACGTTGTACATTTTCCGTATATTTAAAAAGTGTAAAAACTGTAATTCTGTAGAAATATTTAATGCCTTTAATTAGATATATCTTTAATTAGGGCTATTTACCAGAGACCCTTAGACCCATTGTGTAATGTGCGTTTCGCGCGGTAACTCACAAATTGAGACTCCATTCAATACCATGAATAAAATGCATTTTGATTTAAATCAATCAGATTAAAAATTAAAAACACAGTATTCTTAAGAACTTCATCTATTGCTTTTAAATAATCTAGCTTGTTAATTAATGACAGACAGATTAACTATGAAAGAATAGTATCTTACAATTTTTCTCAACAAACAAACTCGAATGAAAATTGAAACAACACAAAATCGCGTTTTGGGACTAATAATAAATTATGTTTTATATGAAGAAGCTTTTTATGTACTCTTTTATGTCATTTGATAGTATGATTGAGCAATCTGAAGATGCTAACACTTATAAAACACTTGTAACAGAACTATTTAAGTGTAATTGAACTATATTATTCAACGCCATGAACTCATGAAGTGTAACCGAACTATTTTATTTAAACGCCATCTCGTGGCGATGATGATAAAAACGTCGAAAAAAACGATATGAAAAAAACGTCAGTCGACCTCCAGCAGCCAATATGATAGTTTACTATGTCTCTGTTATTCTAATGTTTGATGTTCCATTTGTTATATGTTTCATTTTTATGCATATTTCTTTTGTTTTTAACCGTTCTTGTGTGCTCTGTCAATAAATCCTTTTAAAACTAGCCGGCATTAATCTATTGAGGAACGGCTACATCACATTGGGGCCCCACGTTGGGCGCCAGTTTATTACCAGAGGGCCATGTAAACTTTACATTTAACCAAGCAAATACGAAAGAATTATAATTATAAGATAAACACCACATGGAAGAATTACATGTCAAAAGTAATAAAGGTAACATAAGAGTAAAGCAATTACTCTTGGATAAGAGGAAAAGTTATGTCCATGCAAAAATCTGTCGAATCTTTTTTAACTAACGGTTCAGATGTTAGATGTTTCAATTTTTGTTGACTGTTGCCATTTAGCGTTAGGTTATACACTTTAATTGCGTTTAAGGCATTACGTGACTCGTTAGCTAAAATACTATAAAAAGTTAAATATTTTATGTCTCTTTTCTACCTTAATAATAAAACTGAATGTTATTTTATTTTACGCTTCACGGTGGTTAATGCAACAGGCTTTTAAAAGGTACATAGATTAAATAAATAACATTTGCTTAAAAACGTTCCTTATAACACTGTGTTAATGTCAGAAAACCACGTACTGAATAAATGCATACATATTCCACATCCAAAATTTGTCATTTTGTTGGCATAATGCTAGTATTAAGCAGTTTTGTTTTGTTTTAAAAACTTAAAATATATGCATTATATTAAGACTATTTTAGTATTTTTTATAATAAGTAGATTTGAATTACAAATACTTAAATCATTCTCTGAAATTTAAAAAATATTTCGATATTATCCTGAGTTATTCTATCAAATTTATAGTTATATATGTCTTAAAGGATTTAAATAACATATTTTTTACTAAGTATACTTAATCAGAGTTAAATTTAAAATAAATTTTAATGTAGAAGTTTTAAGCGTGCTTTGAAAAGGCTGAATTACAATGCTTAATAAACAAATAATAAAGAATAAATATCTTAAAAATTGGTTCCATTTTGTTTTATAAACTTTAGAAATGCTAAGTAAATGCAATGATCATAGATATCTGACACTTTTATACCAAATCGAAATTTTGGGTTTCTTCCCAAAAATTCAGCAAATACCAAATTTATAAAATTTCACACAATTGTGAAGCGCAATTACTATTACCCATTTTAATAGAAAACCTGGTTCATTAACTTTTAGTTTAATAGAAAACATAGTTAGGCATATATATTAAAATCATTATAGATTACTAGTGAAATAAATTTGATATCAATTTAAATTTCCTTTTATTTTTCTTAGAACAATTTCTTACTCATCTGTTTTTATTACTGAATTGTTAATAGTATGTTTATATTGTTAATTATCTTCCAGCTATTTTTATTGCTAAATCGTTAATTATCTGCTTATAATTGTTAATTATCAATCTTGCGCTGTGTGCAGAACAATGTTTTGCACTGTATGAAATATGCATGGCTATTATATAGTTTCCCCTGTAAAATACTCTTATATGTATACTTAATATTACAGTATGTTGTTTTACTCATTTTGAAAACTTTTTACGCGTTTATTATGAAGAAGTTTTATGCAATCTTCCTTTGTTTTATCTTGTATATCGGTAAGAAAATACTGCATCTATGTAACTCAGTAAGGAATTTCATAAATAGCTACCAGTATTCCCTTAATGCCTTTAAAATAGTTAATAATAAATCTTGCAAATTAATGATATTTTAGATCCTAAAAGTTGTTACCTATGCCATAGCTTAAGCTTTATGGTTATGTTATTAGTTCTTAAAGAAAACATACAGCACTTACCCCTTAGCAGCACCTCAGGGAGGTATAATGACAAACAAGAAAACATTTGTTAAGTTATCAATCAAAAACAAAAAGTCACCTAAAAATGTTTTGAAGATTTTAAGTGCTAAACAACGATTATCAGGCAAGCTTTTCTTCACAACTTTTGCATCTCAGTGAGCTGCTGGTACTAAAAGGAAATTACCAAAATTGTTTACTATACTAAGGGGCAGAACAAGCATGAGAAAAATGAAATAACTCGAACAGTTAATTTACTCTTATTCTCATACTTCTTAGCAATGAACATTGTACGGAAACGGGCGTATCTATATTTAGGTATTTTTATTGTTGTTTTATTCACTTTTGCATATATCTTCTGCTCAACAGATTTTAAGCTTTACGTAAAAAGGAACCGTTTTCTTTATTTGTGATTGTCTACATTTTCTGTTCCCTTAGGTAATTTTACTCTATGAGTTTTTAGTTTGCTGCAGACAAGAGAAATTTTTTGATGAGTTTTGTAGAGGCTTTCCAGTTGACTATAACCCTTAGACAAATGCATTCAATCTTCATGCTTTCGTAGTTTATAGTAATTTACGAAAAATAAACAAATTTACACTTTGCTATAATTTCGAGAGGATTCGAACAAGATAGCTGTTAACAAAAGAGCTTATTACGATAATATAATTAAATAAATGTTATGAAAGATGTGCTTTTGACGGGAGAAGGGGCAGAATTTTACTAAACAGTAAGAAATAGTTGAAAATGAGCAATGAATGCTTCACACTTCATTCGCTGACTTTTTTGTCATCTTTCTGGCAGCTTAAAAATTTATCTTTTAATGCTTCTTTAGATTTGTTGAGAAAATATTTGCATCGTTTGATAAAAACAAAGAGCTCTAAATGGCAAGGTCTGATAAATGAAGGGAAAAAATATCCTAGGTCCATGCAATAAGTCTCTGTCGGAACATCCATTGAAATGTGAAGCAAAGTATTTTCATGGAATTCAACGACTGGTCTGCTAACTGATTGTTTAAATCTATCTAGTAGATGGCAACAGCTTGTAATATATTATTGCTTTACATCATAATCATTACCATCATGCACATTATATCATTTTTCTTGGAATAAAGTCTACATCTGGATGTCACTGAAGAGTCTCGTTTCCTTTTCTCATATTTTTTAAAATCATAAAACTCTTGAGTCCGCCAAAAAAAACTGCGGCAAAACATCGGTAATGGAAACGTCACACAGAAAACAACGCAAGAGGAAAACATCGACGTACAAATTATCGTGAGAGAAAAGACAACAAGGAGAAAACATTGCTTTTATAAACCATCATCGCATAAAATATGGTAGTAAAAGATAAAGCTCTTCAAGAATTTAACATTTTAAATATATAAGCACCTACAAAACATCACATGATGATAACAGCGCAAAGATATGCTTTTAGACTTTAAATGCCTGTGCGCCAGAACTAAAAAGGAATATGTTTCATATTTTTGAACGAAATAATAAACTTTCACGGATGGTGTAATACACATAAGAATGATGAAAAGCAATCAGAAAAAGCCAATTTTTCTTACTAGCTAGAAATAAATCACTTTGTGTGCACAGTAATAAAAAATAAGTGGGAAAAATTTCTGGAAATAAAATTCACAATTTTTTTCAGAAAACCTGATAAGTAAAAAGTCCTTTTAAAAAATTTGGATCATTAATATAAAATATCAGCCGTCAAATGAGTCAATTTAAATAAGTCTATTTGTGATCTGGTGATCTCTTTTTATAAAGAAATTGAACAAACAGAAAAAAAAATATAATTTTTATTAATTTATTCATCACTTTTGTCCATAAATAAGTTTTTAAACTACTATTTTAATAACTGAAAGATTTTTGCTGAAATTAATTTTACGATATTTGACGCATGCCACTTGCACCTAAACATTTAGGCTAATTTTGCCCCGAGTTTGATTCGATATGTATAATAATAATATTTAAGTATCTAAAATACAATAAATTGTTTCTGAAATCTTGCTCAAAGAGAAAACAGTTTTTAAGAAACCAAAAATGTTACAACATTCCCAAATTAATATTCCGATTCTGTAAATATCCAATTACTTTTTTGATTAATTATTTTCTTAGTAAGAAATACGAGATTCAAATTTTAAAAGTGGTAATTCTGAAGATGAGCCTTATATATTTTTACTTCCTTCAGACATAACTTGTTAATGGATCTTATTCTTTGCAGACAGTTTTTTTAATCATTTCTAAGGTATAAATCTTGTAAATGTTATATATAAAATCATACTAGTTATGCTTAAAAATTTTATTATGTTTATTACGTATTATTCAAAATTATAACAATTGATGATGAAATGAGATGAGTAATGAAACGAGGTACAATATTTAAAAAAATTAAACAATAAAAGAAAGTTCTAAACTTTGTCCCAGAACTAAAATTGGTATTAAGTTCGTTTACTGAAATCTAGGTAATTATTCTCGTCATCGTTGCTTTTCGAAAGCTACGAATTTTTTAAATATTTTTTTAGGATTAATATATAATTTTTATTTCCTAGGGAAGAACATTCGAGATCTCGCGAAGGTTCCACAAAAAAGAAGTCGCAAGTAGAGAAAACTACAGGTAAGAAAAAGAAATAAATATAATTATTGAGTTATACATAGTAAAAATGCTGTATACTATGTCACCGTTTCTCAAACGTTTTTCAAGTGGAGGCTGCTTTTATAAATTAGAATATTCTGTGAATCCCCTTATTCTTATCCCCTGGAAAGCATTTTTAGCATATATAAATTTATCCTTTTAAAATAAAATTAATTAAATGCCATATAATTTTATATAGATATTAAATAACTAAGCTATCAGAAGAAAGTTCGCTTTCGTTTTTAATAATTCAATTATATTAGATTTTGGATAATCTTATTAACTAAAAATTAAATAAATGTGTGTATTCGCATTAATGAGATGGTTGAGTCTGCCGATTCTTGCACAGCTGCTGTATTTTTGAATGCAAGTTGGTAAGCTTAAGTCTGACATCGGCGCATACATCAAGTCGATTTCAGCAATTTTTACTTCCTTGTGCAAAGTAAAAAGGAATTGTAATCGTGAAAAATTTTGGGTATCATACTTCAACGAAAATATCCATTTTGAATGAATGTATATTGCATAACTCAAAACAGAGTAGCCTCAGAACGTTGAAATTTTGTATGTGGGACTGCTATAACAACTAAATGTGCACCTCCCTTTTTGGTTGCAATCGGCCGCGCCAAAAATATATAAATATATATATATATATGGTCTTTGTGAAATATTAGTTCTAAATTTCTTACTTTATGTCTTTAATGATAATTTTTCTGTAGCTTTGGTTAATAAATAAGAGTACACTGAAATCTTGAAAAACTTTTGTGATATTTTTTCTAAAAAGTAAGGTTTTTTTTAATATTTTTAATGAAAATATTATTTATACATTAAAGATGATGCTCTGGCTGGTCATTCAGACAAATATTTTGTATACATTATTGGTCAACAGTTAATCATAAATCCATTATTCAAGGAATTAAAAATTAGTTCTTGAGTTTCTGTTGCACCTATTGCTGTTAGAAAAGTGTTCTTTCCGTTGTTTGGACTGCACAACAAAAGCATAACCAAGGAAGCATTCTTATTAAAGCATAAGCAAGGAAGTTTATGAAATGAAATATAATGTAGAAATTTGTAAATTAAGTAGCTTGATGTAAATGGTAATTGTTTTCTTACTTTTCATTTCTTTCATATACACGTAGAGAAGAAAAAAACTAAGTCTCCTTTCCTGCATAAAGTATACAGAAACATCTAGGAGAATGAAAATATTCTTTCATGCTTTTAGGGCAGATCAAATATTACAATGACCACGAAGTATAACAACTGATACATAATACGTTTTAGATTTTTAATAGTATATTGTTCGTTTCACTTATACAATTTAAACGAGATAAATGTTATGTGTAAAGAATTTTCTCCATGTTTAATTTTGAAAAATATAGAAGAAATGTTTAGGTATATTCTTTCAGAGATGATTAAATGCCTGGATAGATTCTAATCAGAAAGTTTAAACTTATTCTATTCAGAAAATATGGAAGTGTTCCTATAAATGAACATTTTTATCTTAGATTTATTGAAGATTATTCCATACTTGGACATATTCTTTTTAAGGTGTTCGGATATTTTCTCATGCTTTGATTTGATCTCTCCTAAACGTCTGAGTAAGTTCCCATATTTGGATATGCTCTGTGTTCTGTATTTTTGAGCATGTTTCTATGTTTGGGCATGCTCATTTTAAAGCTACGGGCATTTCCTCCCTTCTTAAATTTGCTAATTAGCACATTAAATTTGTTTCCCTAAATTTTACTAAACACTCCAAGAAAATCAATCTAGAAACAGATAGATAATGAATTTTTACTATTTAACACTCTCCCTTTATCCAAGAAAGAACACATATGAGTAATGCTATTCGTTGTTTTACCACAAAGCGTAACAAGAGCAGGAGAGCAAGACGAATGGTAAGCGTTTGTCAATAGTTTTTTTTCAGTGATATGGGAACTCATCCTTCACGTGCCACATTATGTGTTGTTTACAACATTAACCCTTAACGTCACAGTTGAAAAAGCAAGTTGTAATAGTGACACTTCTTTACTTTGAATAGTGAGGCCTAAGTCAGCGGAGCCTGTGATTCCTGTGGCCAAAAGCGAACATAAATCGCCCAAGAGGACCCGGCCCAGGGCTCCTAAGGACCTGCCCGTTCACGGACACGGTGATCTCTCAGGGAGGAAGAAGGCTTACAAGCAAAGTGAGTAACGATTGCTTTAACTAATAAATAAGCTTTTCATATTTTGTTCTCACTATGCCAGTGTTTTGCGCAAGGTCAAGAGCAATTATATTCTTCAGCGCACGAATTTATGATTCAATATATTCGTATGTTCTGAAATGTTTGAATGAATAACAGAAATATTAGTTAAACAAGGTTTACTAATTTAAGAATTTTAGCCTTATATTTTGCAAATTCACCGCGGTGTACCAGATATTAATTAATTCACTTGTTTGTAAGTGACAGTTTGCATTATAATAATCTTGATGACAAAGTATACTTGTTTTGAAGATTCATCTTCCGAATAATTCAGATTATCTCTAAATTTTATTTACAAGTTTTATAATGCATAAACTTTTCTGATGAAATTCAGTCGTTAGGAATTTTGCTAGTTTTTGTTCCTTTGTTTTAGTTAGAATTGATCAATTCTTTCCAGAGCTACAAGTCAGTTTTTTTTTATTTCCTGTGTTGAGGATACATAATAATAACGTAGGCTAATATAATTATAATCTTATGAACCAGATACTATAATCTATGAACTATAACCTTATGAAGCAGATACGAATGTGTAAACTTAATGCAAATTATGGTAATTTTCGACCTGTTTTTACATATCTATAAAAACATGCCAAATTATTGCTTTATCTTGGTTAATTGTCGACTGCTATATCTGAAATTCGTTAATATAATTAGATGTTGACAACGCGATGCCCGCAAAACAGTTTTAAAATGCTCGTCGTTCAAATACCTTTTTAACAGCTGTGCGAATTCTTTGATTAAAATGTTTACAAAAATTGATTCTTAGCAATGTCTACATTATTAGATGAACCAGTGTTCGACTGCTAGAAACGTCTGATTCCGCATAGAGTGAATAATTTTATATCTCCATTATCCTTGTAGACTCGACGACGGCGTGCTATGCTTTATACTTTACATTCATAACCTCTGTTCGTACATAAAGTTGTCATTTCGAATGTGCATTTCGAATTATAGACGGAGAACCGCCATGGAAAAAAAGAAATAAGCAGACGAAGACAATTCATTTAATCTCGAGTGGGAAGAACAATTTTGCTTTACTTTTAACAAGAATGTGTGTTTATAATGAAATTCAACTGTAGCGATTGCTGAAAATTGTAACATGGAGAATCATTTCATAGCAACTATGGGTGCCTGGCGAATTTCCATATTCCTGAAATACGCTCTTCTAGTAACAAAGGCTTCCGCCCCCTGATTGTGTAATTTCTTTTTTTAGTTCCATAGTCGGTACATAACTAATAGTATAGATAGGTAGTAATAATATACTTAAGTCTTACAAAGATATTTACTGATCTTAAGGAATTTGTAGATTGAGGCTTAAAAGTTTTCGAAAATAGAAATGTAATCTAGTGAATTAAAAGATATAATAAATATGCAGATATAAGAGAAAAAGTAAGCGCTAAATCTCCCAAAGATATGAATAAATGTAATTTATTCATAATAATTACGTTATTACATTTAATAAATGTAATGACGTTTGTAATGTAACTATTAAATGTAATTTATTCGTTATAAAAATATTATAGCATAATTACAACAATTTTTGCTTTTAACGTCGCAGAAATTCGCCAATCATAAAACTTGAACTTCTGTGTAATATTTATGAAATACTTTAAAATATTTTTCATATAATTTGCAAAACAGCTTCTTTTTAATTTTTTGGCCCCAAATGAATTTGTATACGCACATAATGTTATTTATTTCGACATTCACTGTTCCTCGTACTACCATTTTACTGCATTAATTGTTTGTAAATCATTCTCGCGGCAGCATTTCACCGCATGATTATATGGGAAAAAATATTTGGAGCGAAGTGCATATTTATAAATTGCATTATCTTCTATCCGTTATTACTGTTTATCTATTACTTGCGACTATAAAATATGACAACACAGTTATGAAGTAACGCTTCACATGCGGCCCTCAGTTCCGCATTCGTCTTAATTTCTAATTGTCATTTCGTTGTAAGTAGCAGTAGGTTACTGCTGTAAGTTTTCGAGGACTTCAAGGTTAGTTTTCTGTAAGTAGTATGGTGAGAGATGATAAAAATAAACACGTTGATGATGCTGAGTTTCACTGACGGGAACTGTGAAATCATCCTAAGTGTAGAAAAGTCATGTTGTGAATTCAGGCAAAATTCACCCAAATGGCTAAACATAATGTATGAAATTTGTAATAAAATGCTAATTTTTGATAATTTGATAAAATTTTACTCATTTACAATATATTACTTAATTGCGATGTGTAGCAGATATCCCCTATGATGCTGTTATTATCATTTTCCCATATTTATCATTTTTTTCTCTTCTTCCGCTTGAAACCGATACATCGAGATTCTACTATATAACTGCTGTGAGTTCAATATCTATGTTCAAGCAATAGCAGTTTATTCAACCCACCTTTTGCAAGCAATATTTATCAGTTTTCATTGTTTACCTTAGTCCACTTCTATAAAACGTTTTCAAAAAATATACTTTCCAAATATAATTTTGCTAGTGTAATTGATTGCGGCATGCCTTTTAAAAATTGCATTTTAAACTTCATAGAAGTAACATTGGTTTCTTTCTTTATAAACATAAAGTGACCATTGTCACGAAAATTGCATTTATAAATATCGGATATAATGTTTTCATAGAAGAAGGGTTAACTTCTATTACTTATATTTGTCATAAAAATTTCTTAAATTTTAGCGTTAATTTATATGGAAAATTTTAATATAATACCAAAAGAGCCAAAATTTATATATTTCTTTAACGTCAAATAATCATGCGTACAGCACTACCTCATTATAACTTTCATTGTAATACTTAAATTAAATCCGCGTTAGATTAAAAACTGAAAGCATCTTCGATGTGAATTGTGTATATCTACAGGATAAAAAATGCAACTATTCTTTAGTTATAATATGAGATAATTTCTAACAGCTTGCGAATTGATGCTAATTCAGTCTGTTAATAAATAAATACAGTCACGGAACACATGGACCATTAAAATAAATGAATACAATGAATATTTACAAATTAAATTTATTTTATGAAATTATTTTTAAAAGAACTCAGAAAATAAAGAAAAAATTCAGAAGCTTATGCAGGAGCATACCATCTATCAAATTGCTAACTATCAGCATGCCCACTAAATATGAGATTCAGGTTGAAGTTCGTTTAAAGCAGGGTTTCTTAAACTGTGTGTGCGGGACCTGCAGCAGGCAGTCGCCCAAACTTTAAACAGTTTTGCTATTTCTTTAACTTATTATAATAATTTTACAATTACCAAATATTTTTACACAATATATCTAAAAATAGATAAAGATAAGACAATACAGACAAAGAAAAAAACAAAAACGTGTCGACGCATTTCTTTTTATAATACAAACGTTTATTTTCCTTGCTTTGCACGTCTCACTGTCATTTCATCTGTTACTTATTTAAAATTTTCACATTGTTCTATGTCTTATAATTAAAAAGTAAAGTTAATGACCTAAAACTGCAATAGTATATTACAGTACAAGTGAAAAAATTGATAATTTCACTCACGCGTGTGTCGGATTTGCGCAATACTTATGAGGTCTCATAAAATTTTTGTAAATATTATGGGGTCCTGGGAGTCGCGAAAAATTCTGAGTGATAAAAAGGGGTCATGAGTGAAAAAAGTGTAAGAAACCCTGGTTAAGCTGAGACAGAAGCGGCGGTAGACATTTTGCTGCCCGGTGGAATCTTTGCGGATCCCAAATTCTGCTGCCCAATGCATCATTCTAAAATTTGCCCAGTGCCTCTCCTAAATGTTAAACATTTTATCATCCCAAAACTTTGCTGCTCGGGGCTTCTTTAAATTCTAAAAATTTTGCCGCTGCTGAATTATGAAGCCTATTTGCACTGGTGCGGGGCTCTGGCGCTGGCCTTGGAGCGAGATTCACTATTTTAGCTACCGGATTTAAGCAACTTTGAACGTTATATCGAGAATGTATTATTATTTAAGTTTAAAGAATCACCATTTTGCTGCTAGAAGTGTTATTCTGGATCTGCGTTGTTTATATGTGGTTTTAGGCAGCACCCATGTAATATCCGAAAACGTGGCGTATGTAGCAGCGTTATAGCAGGAGATTGCTTAAACATTCATATAATTTCTTTAGTAGTAGGTGCTGAATTTTAATAAGTGTCGTAAATAGTGTAACTAAATTATTGGGCGTGCATTAGAACGTTAATTTTTATCTGGCCTACAGTGTAAGCTTAAAAATGATCTATAGTTTCAGTAAAATGAAAAATTATTCTCCTTTTTTTTTCACTTTTCCTTAGCGATCGATAAATATATAAAAAAAAAAGAAAAAGCATTGACCTCCTGAAAATTAATCATTGTAGGCACTGAGAAATCGTCGCCTGTTGGAATGAAGCCAAGAGCCGTCCCTCGTCCTCAGCAGGCGAGTGACGATGGAAAAGTATGGATGAAGCCGGATTCCAAAGAGGAGGCGAAGGCAGGAGATGGAGCCAAGGAGGAGGAGCAGCTCGTAAACGGGTTTGCATCCGAAGAATCCGAAACGGGAAAGATGGTGAACGGCGAAGGACCCGATGAGCAATCCGTCCAACAGAAAATGAGAGAGGACGCTAAGTTGAATGGAGAACATTGTGAGTAAAATATGTGAAGCCTGTGGGAAAAGTGATATCTTTTGTGGAAATTTTTAACTTCTAAATAGATATTAAAAGCAATTAATGTTAACAGCAATACCTTTCAATATCAGCTGCTATGACTGTCATCAAACACGTGAAAATCTCCAAAGTCCTATTTGAAACTGAATTCGCTGTGAATTCTTCTGATTGGTCCTACAATTAAATCAATCGGAAACAGAGACTTTGGAGGTTAAATTTCAGATGTATGATAATGGTCACAAGCATTAAACTTTGCTATTTGGATCAAAGTAATGGCAATGTATCAAAAAGGAAATCGGTAGATAAATCTAATGTTTGAATAATTGGCCAAAGTATTGATAATATTTTAATTATTAGATTAATGCCAGTCACTATGTTTTACATTTGTAATAATTTTTCCGTTTATTGAGATCTAGTTGAATTGTTACTTGCTATTATTGTGGGTAAGAAGCTGGATGTGGCCCAGTGGCTAGCGCGTCGCGCAGCAGCACCACAGGTCCGGTGTTCGCAGGTTAAGTGAGCAAAGTCGTACTGTCACGTGTATGGTGCTCACAGAAGCTGGATTATATAAGTCATTTTGAGTGTCTGTTTAGCAACATTAATTTTTAAATGTGCCTCCATTTCTTTGAACGTTTTAATATCTTCTTGATTTCCAGTGCTCTAATAATGAGCTAAAATTTAAGGTTTGAGTTTAATCGTTAGTCTTCATTAGCCCGTAATAATATTATGTTTACTAAACGAAGGTGCTACCACTTACGCCACAAGAACATGCAGTGTGGAAGGCGAAAATTCCTTATTAAATTTAGGATAAGAATTTGAATGGATTGATGTTTTACTTCTGATTTAAACTGATTAGTGGATGGTTCAACTTGAATTAACTTATTAACTACTTCCTGAACTGTTTTTCTAGAAGTTTGAGTGCATGAATGTTCCTTTGTAGTCCTTTCATGCTCTTTAAAAGAACAGTAATAATATTGTTACTGTTTGCTTTGAAATTTAAGAATAAATGAGAATTTTCAAAAGATAAGTGTCTAAATTTTCAGACTAAATTGTAAAATTTGGTCTGAAAAATAAGACACCTTTTAAAACTTTGTGTGACAAAAAAAGTAAAGGCGAAGAAAGTAAAGAGAAGTAGATGAAGAAAGTAAAGGCTATCTTTCGAAGCAAGGGAAGGCATGGTTGCCACATTTGGCGAGAAATCGCCCATTTGGCGACATTTTGCGACAAAATTGGCGATATACCATGGACGGATGGAGAACCTTCTGGAACGAATTCTTACCGGTTTAGCCCAGAATGTTCTCGAACACCAGCCAAAAGCTATATAAACCCTGGTACGCGGAGAGTAAGTAGTATTGAGAGTGTGTCTCGTCTAGCGAGTCAATCCCTGCGGAGTCGATCGAGTTGACAGCCGGGCAGCGAGTGCCGAGAGGGTCGTCGAGTGCACCGAAGGAGTCTGTTAGTGTAGCGCGGTTAGTGCATCGTCGAGAGAGCGAGTTGAGCTCCGGGAACGACTGAACCGAAAAGTCGGGAGCTGCGCTCGTGTGTCGTCGAGTGCATCGCGAGTTGTAGCGCGGAGAGTCTCGAGAGTACGTGGAATTCCGAGAACGACCAAGCAGAGTCGGGAGCTGTACTCCGGAAAGCAGAGTCGGGTGCTTTTCAGGAAGCTGTCTCCACCGTTATTGCCTGACAGTATGAAGGCTGTGTCGCTGATTGTTCCAGCGTGTTTATAGTAGATCTTCGACGAGTGTAAAAGTGTTTTGGAGCTGTCCTGATTAATATTGATAAATAAAGTGTGTTTCGATACTTCATCCAGTGTCGTCGTTATTCACTCCAAATCTACGAACCCCGTACGAACGTGAAGGAAGAAAATAACGTAACAGCTAGTGTCAGAAGAAATAAAAATGCAACAATATAAATAATTATTTACTTAAAATATTATAAATCAACGTAAAATTCTCCTTAATTGAAACTACAGTTCTCATTAATTGTTATACGGTCACTTGCTATTTGCTGAATAAATGAAATAATCCAATATGTGTTTTTCCCATAAGTGGAGTATATATATATGTAATAAATAAAAGCAAAAGGAAATGACGGAACACATATATGTAATAAATAAAAGCAAAGGATGCGTGATTAGACCCATATTGAAGAAGAATTTTGATTGCGTAGTATTTAAAGAACTTGGCAGTCGAGGCAGTTTTAATTCCATTTTTATTTCCAGTTGATATTTGTGGCCACAATCACTTGGCACTCTAGTCGTGCCTTTCCACAGAAGATTTACATTTTTGATATTGTTGGGATAGAAAACAAGCCAGCGAAATTACATCTTAGCACAGTAGAGAGGAAAAGCTGAAGTGCGTCGTTATGAAAGATGGAAGCACGCGAAGAGAAAAGTTTTGGTTTATAATTCGGTGATTGGTCGTCAAGAGGCATCTGGAATAAATGGTTACGTAAGATCGCATGATTAATTTGAATGACGCAATGCAGATAAGTTATTACGATTTTAGAATAGAGAGGAAGAACGAATGTTTATAGTTATATTATAATTCTGATTCATACAATTTATCTTACATATCCCCCCTTAACTACTGCAAATAGACCTCAAACTAATGGTAAAATTGAACGTGTTAATCAAACTATTATAACTAGATTAAAATGCAAACTAAATTCTTATCAAGGTAATATAGCATGGACAAAATTATTACCCCAAGTAACTGAAGAGTATAATAATACCCCTCATTCTGTAACAAAATTCCCTCCATCATATTTAATGTATGGAAAATTACCTTATGATTCCTTAATTCAAAATCAAGAATTGTATCCATCAATAGAAGAAGCCAGAAAAATAGCTCAAAAGAGATCTGATGATTATCATAATGTAAATAAAGAAAGATATGATATTCATTTTAAACCTAGTAATTTTTAAAATTGGTGATTTAGTAATGTATGAAGAATTTCAATACCCTAATACAGGTAAATTATCTCCTCCATTCTCAGGACCTTATAAAATTTTAAAACAATATTCTGATGTTACTTATGAAATAGATAAACCTAATCCTTTAACTAAAAAGAAATCAGAAATTGTTCATTCAACTAGATTAAGACCTTTTAATCCAGCAAGTGAGTTTAAGTTAACTGTCAGAAATAGTAGAATTCCTATCTCTGTTCAAAATTAAAATTAATTTTTTAAAAAATTCTCTTTTAAACATTTTCCTGATTATGACCTTTAATACCTGATTTAGACTTAAACCCTAACTATGACAAGTTATTTTCCCGACTATGACAAATTATTCTCCCGATCTTGACCTTTTATATCTTTCACATGATTTGAATTATTTTGTAGCAAAAATTTTCTTCTTATTGTAGGATAATATTTGTTTCTAATTTACAACATTATAAAAAAGACTTTAACTTGATTATACAAGTTATCCGTCTTATAATTTTGATTTTATATGATCTTTTATTTTTCTAAAACCACTTTGAGGTAATGTACAATGCCAAAAACCAGTTACCTTCTATTAGGCAACGGAGGTTTTTCGATATTTGTACCTAGCACCCCCCAACCATCAGCAAATAATCACGCTGATCTGTTGGCGAGGACATGCCATAGTTTTAAAGTCAAAGTGTTCATGTTCTAGTGTATAATTGTATTATTTATATTGAATTGTTTTTTGAATAAGTATAATATTTTGTATTGAAGTGTAAAACATGTCAATCTTTACGATGAGAGGAAAAAATGCATCATATTTGTGAACTATCAACATGCATCATATTTGTGGACTATCTGGCATTTAGAGATTTTACCAGATATTTTCATTCTATTCGAACTCTTTTTATGAAAAAAACTTTAAAAAAAAACAAAATGGACATTTTTAACAAAATTGAGGACTTTTGTAATTATAACTTATTTATTTATCAGTATTCCATATTTATTATGTTATAGTCTTAAAATTAGTCATATATTGTATATTTATTTATAACTCATTGTTTTAATGTTCAAAATTTCATATGCTATAAAGTCAAAATTTTATATGAGAAAGTCATGAACTATGATAGGCCATAGTTAAAGCTTGTACGCTATGTTCTGGATGTTTTCATGTCTTTTCTCATACTTTTGCTTCACTCCTGTACTAATGCTTTTCTCACCCCGGCCTCTCTTTTTGACGGGGGGGGGGGGAGATGTAAAATAAAATAAAAAAAAAAAAAAAAAAAGATGGCTTTGCTCTTTGCGAACCAGTATCCTTTAATTAATTTTCTGCAATTCAGCATCTCCCCTTAGACCATTACCTTCTAGAACATTCGCATCTATTACATAACCTCATATAAATGCTGCGTCATAAGTTTTTCTACATTTTTCTAGAAGCTCCTCTGTTACATAACCTTTCATATAAATGCTGCGTCATAAGTTCTCCTAGACAGATGCCTTCTCGCCTTCGTCCTGCTAACGCTTCCGCTATGCTCCTCTTTCTTTGTTAGAACGTTATGACGTATTAAAGTTTAAAGTCAGTCGTATCTAATAGTTCAATTACTGAATAAGTTATTTGATTAACTTCATCTGGAAAAATTCATCTGCTATAAATTAAAATAAAGATATGCTTGCTGTTAAAAGTGAAAAGTCCTGAGTCGTCATTTTTCTCCGTACTTCAATCATCCCAGCTTCGTCAACCATCTGCCAGAACGTGTAATGGAATAGCCTCACCATTCGCCCACGATGTGATGGAATAACTGAAAACATTACATATATATATATATATCTTTATTATATGCGGCTTAAGTGTCTGTTTGTCGCCGATAGTTTATTGGTTTCTTGCGTAACTGTACTAGCCAATGGGGTGAAGTTGCCACGGCATTTAAATAGTCCATATACACTGATAGCAAACATGCAGTTATCAATGTTTTCATTAAATTATCATGGTATTTAAGAACATTTAAATATTTTTAATTCATACAATTCATTTTAATTCATACAATTGTTGCATTTAACTATATTTACATTATCTAGAAACTTGCAAACGTTGAGAAATTAAAGGAGACGAAACCAACTAACGAGTTGTGCGTAATACAGCTCATCAGGCAGGTTTACCCAAACTCCTATGCTAAATATCCTTTTGCGTAAAGAGTTTAAAATTTACATGTTTAAAATTTAAATTGGGCAGTAAGCAAAGGGACGTCCTCGCCGCCTGCCCTAGGTTCTGTTTGAATTAGCAGACACCTTTGCACAAATCATTTTAATTACAATAAATTTATAATATCTAGAACAGTGGTTATTTCGTATGACTCCGGGCTTTCTAGTATATATATATATATATATATATATATATATATATATATATATAATTACAAAACAGTTCTTTTGAAAACAAAACACAAACATGCCTTAATTATGAATTTCAATTTCTGGTCTTCGTGAAATTTTAGTTCTAAATTTCTTACTTTATATATATATATCAGAAACTAGGTGATTAATAAATACTATTAACGTCGTACAAAATGCTACGAAGGAAAAGAAAAAAGATAAAATACACAGAATTAGTATCAACCAAATGTGATAAATTTTCTAACCGGAAAACACAAATTATCACGAAAATAAAACAAAATTCACATAATGTTAGATAATATTTGATATTTTTGGGGTCTTTCGCAAGGAGCAGCCAAAAGAACAGAGCCTTGTTTCTGAATATCTGAATGAATTTCAAAACTAATCAAAGAATTCTTTAAAATTAAATTAATTAAATACGAATATATTAATACAAAATTTAAAAGTATTTAAACAATTTTTAAAAAAACTTACTTTTTTTTAATTACAAGTATAAAACCTGTTGTTATCTGAAGTCGGTCATCAAGATAAACCCTCCTACATGACTCGAAATTTGGAATATAATCTATATAGCAGTTTAAAAGTCAAAATTTTATTAATAAGAAGAAAATTAATTTTAAATTTCAAAAATTAAGAATTGCTAATTATTTTTTAATTCCTTCTTCCGAATTTCGACAAGAAACTCATCCTTAAGAGCAGCTATTTAATTCTGGACTTAAAACATTGCTCCAACAGTTTCCAGTTGCCCTTTCTTCTTAGATATAACTTCGTTGGTTACTTATAAATCAAACTTCATTCGTCCTTTTAAGGACATTTAATCATAACTACTTATTAATCAGAATTACTACTTAATCATTGCTACCATTAATAACTGGCACAAATATAGATAATGGCGGAAAGCTGTAGTAGATTTAGCGTCATCTAGAGTATACCTCGAGAATGCTCGCAGCATTATACCCTAATCGATCATATAGAGAAACCTAATACAGCCATGACATTCCATTCATCAAATTTCCTTACACTTCTTCATTTCGTTCAATTCTGTGGGTTAGAGATTAGGATTCGCTAGTATAACTCCCCTTAAAAGCTGTAATATCGAAGATTTGCAGACGGGGCCTGATAAAATGGCTGATACCTTCCAAATAAGAAACAAAAGTATCCACTTTGAAATAGAGTGTGTCATCGAAATAAAGTGAGTGAAAAGATTGTCAAGTAGGTCGAAAACTTTAATAATTTGTGAATGAGTTTTGATAAGTTTCTCTTATGAATTGCTTACAGTAGATGGGGCGCATGATTGTGATGAATGTGTAAGAATGCTCTCCGAGAGTAAATGCACAGACAACAATCAAGTTCCAAGATATTTGTATAGGATCTGCCATGCCAAATTTCAGAATACTGACACGGCATATTTTTTTTTGTTTAGGTTTAGATTTATTGAAACACTTTACTGCACCTAATGAAGGGAAATTACGAAGAGTTATGCCTAGGATAATATTTGTATCTGTCCGAATGTATAAAAGTCCTATATTTAACTCGTATTAAAAATACATACCAATGCAACGTATAAATTTAACGGAACGATTGTCAAATTGTAACCGAACCAAAACATAACTCCTGTGTCCGACTGCACTGTTATTTCGGCTTTCGGCCTTGGAGGGCAGGCCATCAAATTAAATCCACATTGAGTTAGAATTTAAGCTGTTGTGCAACAAGCAAGAAAACCATCCAAATGGGGTGACAGAAAAGAATTAGTCATCTCACAGAGTGCTCTATACAAATTTTTTTAATAATATTACGCAAAATATTGAAAGCTCGAGTGCTATAACTAATAATCAAAACATCTATAACCTGAAATAAAATAATAATATTTTTCGTTAAATTCCCTTTCGAAATGAAATTGTCTAGTCTTAATTATGTTTAATGAAATTAATCAGTTATTCATTGTTACACAAACTAAGAGCAGAAAATGTTTGCTCATCCTTTAGATGTCGCTCCTCTTACAAAACCCCCAATGAAAGTCCCGCTCACTACTGTCAAATCACCGGAAGAAGTGACAGGCGTCCGATCTCCTGATCCCGAATCATGGACTGTGCCTTTGGAAATTGGGAAAGGCCTACACTGGATGGATGGAAAAACACCAGGTAAGAGTGCACACATTATCCTTTTGCTATACGTTATAACTAATGTATATGTAAAATAAAATTGTGGTAGTCGTAAGAATCTTGAAAATCGAGATATTTACAGTCGATAAAATAAATTAAGAAATTTAAATGTAATTGAATTCTTGACTAACCCTGAATATTAACTGATAATTCTTATCTGCCTTAAATATAAGTTTGGTTAAATGACGGCATAATTGAGTTTGCATGCATGTACACTGAGCCAAAAAAATGGGGACTTGTATCTCTCGTTCTATTGGGCCGATTGACAAAATTCAAATTACGTTTTTCATGTCTCGAAAGCGCGACTTAGGATATGTAGTAGATTTATATATAGCACTGTTCTAATATAAGTATTTTGACACAAAATCGGACTTTTTCTGAAATAACATACCATTTTTTTTCCACATTTCAATTCTGCGATTCAAATTACACCGAACTACCAAGTTTTGTAAAAATCGTAGAAGTAGTTTTTGAAAAATTAGCTCTCAAAATTTAAGCTCCTCAGTGTTAATTGAGTTAGGTTTATATTTATTAATCTCTCTTTTTTAGTAATCCTATTTCATTCTTCTTCCCACATTTCAAATAAAATTCATCCATTTTTTATGATTTATTTTTAAAATTTGTATTTTAAAATAATTTTTATATGCTTTTCAAAAAAATTTAAATTATGATCTATAAAATTTTTACCATCATCTTAAAGTATTTCTATGCATACCTGCAAAAAATTATAGTTATTTATTCAAAATTTCGGAAGATATACGAGAATTTATATATTGGCATATTTGTTGAAAGCAATAAAACATCAAATGTGGTTTAGACACTTTGCTAAAATTATTTAAAATTAAGAACGACAGGTTTTTTTTTCCGCTCACATGCACAATGTAAAAAGGTGGGAATGAAGGTCCTTTTTTTACGCTCCGGCATAATGGAAGGGAAAGGAAAATTGATTGCTATATATTAATAAGTTCGCCAAGTGAATTAGTCTTGGCGAAACCTGAAAATATTGCGCCAAGATAAATTTTTGAATTTCTCCGTAAATTTAGCACCAAAATTTTAATATCTAAGCATAATTTGAGTCGTGGAATCGAAATAAGAAAAAAATTGGTATGTTATTTCAGAAAAAGTCCGATTTTGTGTCAAAATACCTATGTTAGAATAATGCTATATATAAATTTAATATATATCCTAAATCGCGCTTTCGAGACACGAAAAACGCAATTTGAATTTTGTCAATCGGCTCAGTAGAACGAGATATAGAACCGTCCTTCCTCCTTTTTTTCCCACAGTGTACGTGTCATAACTTGTAGCAAAATTTAAAGGAATGTTTAGTTTAGTAGTTTTTTTTTTTTTTTTTTTTTTTTTAATATTTTGCAACAAGTTATATTATATTTACTTTTTAACTTGTTCTAAAATTTGTAAATAAAGCTTAATTTTGATCAAAATTAGCAGCTGAAAAGCTGTCTATTCAAATAGAATTCAGTATGAAATTTTAAAATATAGCTAAGAATGACAGTACGTTAATGATTGTAAGCATGCAGTTTATAAACGTAAGTGTAATAATATTTGACGAGGTATTGCAATTTTGTAACTTTCAAAATTTTGGAAGAATTTGAATGTGAACACCTGAATGAATTTATTAATTAACTTTTTTAATGAAAATTTATAATTATAAATGAGATAGAAAATAAAAGATCTTTATACTTATTATGAATACAATTAAACAGAAAATTTACCATTTATACATTAGTACAATTGATTAAATGTTGTTATATTGGTATATCAATTAAATTGTTTTTGATATTATTGTTTTCTTACTGTCGAATTATCATTCAATAAAACTAGTAGAAAGCAAAAAATATATACTGTTATTATCAATGCATACTGACTGAATAGATAAATGGTGAAAATAAATGGAATATTTATTGCAATTGCGTAGTAGAAATATTTATCAAACAATAACAATGGTGTGCTTTTTTAAAAATTTATATAATTAATAAATAACAGTTATTAACAGGAGTAAAGTATAAAAAAATGTATTAAAACTTAAAAGTATCGACATCAAATCTAGTTTAGCACTGAGCATTTTCGCAAGCGTCGTGAACTCATCCATAGGAGAGTGATATTCAAAGCGGGTGTGCGTCATTGACAGAAAGTTTCCTTTTTATGAAACAAAGCTTTATTTTGTATTAATTTCTTCTACTACTAATATTGAGTTATATCTTTATGTTTCAGTTTGTATAACCAACACTAATTTTTCAAACAAATATTGGATCGAAAGATTTTCGTTGTAAATGATTGATTTAGAATTTATAATTGCACTTGAGGATATATAATTTAAAATGAGGCCACATAGTCGAAAACAGAAATCGCTTAAAAGATTTAAATATATATATATATAAGCTTCCTGTGATACATTTATTTGGAACGAAACAACAATGAATCCTTCATAATATGTTATAAATATTCAAAGTTCTTTAATTTATAGTAAAAGATTGTTTCCTGTGTCGAAACGTATGCAGTTTCCAACTGGCTTCGCTTCATTTGATTTAAATCACACAATAAATTAGACTAGCATTAAAGAAAACCGCATGCTAGTGCAGGATAATTTTGGTCTTTTATTTAATCATTTCCAACTGACTCGTGTATCATAATTTTGTTAACTGAATGAAACTCTAAATGTTAATTTATGAAGAGCAGCATATACTCTGAGTTACTCTTAGTTGATTAATTGAATATAGCAGATCAAGGAAGGGCTATCTTCCTAGTTAGTTAATTAGCTGATTATAGCAGATCAAGCTAGGACTAATTTTCATAGGGCTTTCATAGGACTAAGGAAAACTTGCACATGGGAAAACTATGGAATCCCCATAGTCTTGGAAAGAAACGTCGGTGGTCAATTGTATACCATAGACTAGTTATATATGTCCTTTGTAACCTCAGAATGAAGGTGTTTTAAACATGAACGTTAAAAGTGCTAGAAAAAAAATTAAACTATCTGTACATCTTAAAAAAGGGTGATACCATCCAAAATTAGTTGTTGAATCACTAAAACAGAGTTAACAAATATTAAATTTTGATTGTTAAGTGAAACATTTTTTATAAAATTTGACTTGCTTAAAACATTACTTTGCTGCCTTTTGACACAGTTCCGTATATATATATAGCTGATGTAAAATATATTACAATTTTGTCTGTAAAGTTTGGCTGCATTTTTCAAAATATTCTTTTATTTCTACTTAGTCTTTCGTACTAGTTATCAGATTAGAATATTTTGGTATCAAGAACAGATATAATTTTTCTTTTTATCTATTTATCTAATTATGTATTATTTTATATTTTCATTCGTAGACTCTGTTCATTCGAAAGCTCACGAAGCTCCGTTCTAAAATTTCGGAAACTTGCCAAATAGCTGAATATTATGCATTTTCTTTTTTTTTTTAATTTTTATTGGCTTATTTACAGCGATTCAACATCTTTTTTGTGATCATAATGTATCTCAAGAAGGCCCGATTTTTTATTTATTTATTTTTTTAAAGAAATGTTGAATGCTTGGGTTGTATGAACTTCTTTGTAAGAAAGAAAGCATGAGAAGTAGTTAGTCATTGAAGCCATAATGTAAGAAATTAGCAAAGCTGAGTATATCATGATCAAAAACAGTATTTCAGCTTTTTACCTGTGGTGGGGAATATTAACAGGAAATATTAACTCTCATACTCGAAATCAGAAACCATCTTGACGGCAGATTCTTTCGCTGAATTGTTAAAGCCGGTAGCCATGTTTTCTTAATTTTTACTTACATAAGAGCGCACTAATACATTCTTTTATCTAACTTTCCATATAGTATTATTCTTATTTAACCGAAAACCAAAACTTTAAGCCTTGATTAATACAGTTGCCCCCCAGTTTCTAGCACTAGCCATTTTAGATTTTAGACTTTGTGCCACTAGTGAGGCCGGAAGCAGTGGTCACTTTATTACGAACACACTTAATAGGTGGCCCACCGTTACCTCCTATAAAGGGACAGACAATTTACATCCATGGCTTCTCTGGGATTCGAACCCGGGCCCTTTAATCAGAGTCATTAACCATTTCCCGTCTGTGCAGCATATTACCAAGAGATTTTGATTCTGCCATAAAAATTCTTTTGCTGACAATAGCTCTTTATGAGTAAACTCATTTAACTTGCAGAATGATTTATTAGTACGCTAGCTAAATTTAATTGCTTTACAAAATGTGATCTTCAAAATTCTTTCATAAATGAGTTGCTTAATTGGGAGTTAAGTAATGAGGTGCCCAAGGGATTTCCCGCATTACTTACTTACGAACCAGAAAAATTAAGTGATACCATTTTTTCCATTTTTTGTCTGCTTTGAAGAAGTGTTTTAATGCTTACGTTTTAGTCATTTGATAGTCTTAGTATAATTTCTAGGCGTAGAATCCAAAGATTCATATCATTAATCATTAAAGAGCGTTGTACTTGTTAATTCATTAAACAGCTGAAAACATCAGTTGTATTTACGTTTACTACGCCTTTAACCTTTTTGAAGTGTAAACTCGTCTTGACGAAGTTAGGAGATTCAATGATGCTTATAACTCTGAAATGTTCCATTGGCCTTTTGCCATACATCTCAGAGATTATTTTGCTGCATAGCATCATTCCCTCCCCTTCCCCCCCCTTTTTTTTTTTTTGTTAATTCTAGTTTTGCATGAATCATATATGTTTGGCCTCCATTCATTGAAAGATGATCATATGGGCAATTTGGCAGAAGTAGCGCTAGGAAATATAAAATATATAAATGCAGAAATGAAAGACATCTTTTTTTCAGATGGCGTCCAAGCAAAAGGGCCACCCATTCTCCTATCTAAGCGACTTAAAGAGTCTTCCTTGGTAGGCAAAAGCCAGAAAGATATAGTGATCTGTGATCCAGGTATTAATAAATTTATTTGCAATAACTTGTTTCATTGGACTAAATTTAAAGCATGCCATTAGAGTTCATAGTATCCTTAAATTTTGAAATGAAGCATGAAATTTAGAGATAGAATTACATTAAAATTGAAGATGTACTAATATAAAAAGATCATAAAAAAAATAATGATATTCACATTTTAGCGCCAAAACAATACGATTCAGAATCGAAGTACCTGTAGTTTCAGATCTATTATAAAACGTCTTTAATGCACAGATAAGTACTGAATGTTTTTGATATTGGCTGTAGATTTAAATGAGTAATTATAAACTTTTTCCTGCATTTGAGTTAAATTACCCCAGCAACGAACTATACAAAGTGATTCATAAATCTGCAAAGTATTTTTTTTTAATTCAATAGAAATAAATTTCCTTACCGACAGCAAATTTTATTGTATTGAAATAAAAGTAAACTCCTTAAATTTTTGTGTACATTTCACTAACGCTTAATGTGTCCATCTTTGCTGATATTTGAGACATCTAAGATGCGTCATTAAAAGGATTTACTTTGAAATCTGATTGATTCCATAGCTGAAAACAGTGTTTATTATCTCTTTCAACAGTTGTCTGTCCAAGTATCACAGAGCCCATGAGATCATTTATAAGAGTATCTCGAGTCAAAATTTTTCACAAAGTTCGATTGTATGTTAAAGGCGCTTCATTAGTGATGGGAAACCTTACGTTTAGATTTCCTTCTGGTAATTCTTCAAGAATTAATTATTGTCTTTGTCCACTCCCAACTAATGACTACCGAAACACCTATGCTGTAGTTTTGGCTGACCGTGATACACTGGCTGGTGTTTGAGACGAAACGGATTATCGCATAGTTGTCTGCTGTATCAGCAAAAGTGAATACATTAAGGATTTTTGAATATGTAAAATATATTCATAAAAAACGTGAGCTTGCCCTTATTTCAATGTAATAAAATTTGATATCGATTGGGTAGTTTATTTGCTAGGAATTTTAAAAATGCTTCTCAGAATTATGAATAACCCCGTGTAATTAAATTAGCTTGTAAGAATTCGGATTTGTCCTGTGCAAGAGTTTCTCAATGGAATTAAAAATTTGAATGATGAGAAGTAAATATTGTAGAACTATGCAAAAAAGTAAAATTTCAAGCGGACTGTATTAATGAAAACATATTTATTAAATAATGAAAGAATAGCAAAAACTAAACGAAAATTACCAGGGCAACGCACGATCACCAAGGCAGCAAACAATCTTTTTCTACTCTCCCCATATAGCCCGAGCAAGTTAATTTGCATCTTCCTATGGTTGCCATTTAATTTTGAAAATGTGGGCCTAAACATCCCTCCCACCACTGAAACGCAGTTTCAATTAATTACAATTTTAAACAAAAACTTTTTAAACATAATAGAATGAAAACATTTTTTAAACTGCTAATCAAAATCTTACTCAAGAGACTCTATGAATTAATAGTTTGTATCATACTTAAGAGTTTGTTTCATGGTTCAGTAAGGACAAAGCTTAACGATAGGTCTCTTGAGTTCTCCTTGTGCAGTTCGTACCGTTACCATACGGATCTTACCGTCACTTCCAGGATGGAGTCTAATGACTCTTCCCGTACGCCACAGCAGTGGTTAAACGTTTTCTTTGAGTAAAATAAGATCATTGACCTGAAAGTCTCTTTGTGATCTTTGCCACTTAGGACGTTGTTGCAGTTTAGAAAGGTATTCTCTTGACCACCACTTCCAGAAATGTTGTAGGACAGATTGACGCAATTGTCATCTTTGTCTATAGGAGACAGGCTCTTGCAAAATCTCCTGCTTTGGTAAAGTAGATACTGGAGCTCCAATCAGAAAGTAGTTCGGTGTGAGAACTTCAAAACTGTAAGATCCTTAGACATTGCTGCAATGGACGTGAGTTCAAGCAGGACTCGACCTGAGTGATGAGTGTAGCGAAATCTGGATATGCTAGTATTGTAGATCCTACACTTCGACGAAGGTGATGTTTCATCTAAATAACTTCTAAAGGATAGCACGCGTCGAAAAGCATAAAAAATGTATGCGTAGCATTTGAAAGACCATTAACCACGTCGAGTTCGATGTTTGATCATAAAAGGTCCAGCAAAATCCACACCAATACGATAAAATGGTATGAACCGAACCATGTAACACGTGAGACAGGTAAATCGGACGTGATTTGTGTGAAAAGTTGGTTCTATATCTGCGGCAGATGGCAAATTTGTTCAGGACTTTTCAAATAGAAGATCGAGCAGATATCATCCAGAAGCTTTGCCTCAGAGCACACATCAATAGCTGAGGTGCAGCATGTAAATATTTTAGGTAAAATTGCTTACTGATCATTTCGTTGATGAAGTGCTTTTTAAGAAGAAGAACTGGACGTTTTTCATTTTCCGGAATATTAGCATGTCTTAAACGACCACCGACACGCAAAACAACTTCTTTGTCTAGAAATGGATATAAGCAGAGGATCTTACTATTCGTTTTCAAAGGGAATGATGTAAGTAAAGGCAAAATTTCTTCTTGGAATTCAGAACGTTGAATTACCCATATAATTTTGAATTTTGCTTTCTCGAGCTCTTCTGTAATTAAGAAATCTAACAATTTCTTCTCAGGATGAGAACAGTTATTCACAAATCTTAGATGGGCGAGACTCGAAGTAATTTTGACCATGAAGAATATTTTGAAATAACAACAGATTCTTGAACTCATAAAACACTCCTTTTCTTCTTTCAAGGCAATTTCAGGAAGAGTTCTGTATTCCATCTATAGGTTTGTTTACGCAGTCACGACCGTTGAACAACTATTTACAATTTGTTAGTTGAGAAGGTAAGATGCCTCTCGTACCTGGGCCCGTTGGATTATCGATTCCTGAAACATGACACCATTTCGCTTGAGGAATCATCGTCTGAATCTTAGACACTCGATTTGCAACAAATGACTGGCATCGATAAGGTTCAGAAAATAGACACGCCAGTCTTATCGTTGAATCTGTCCAAGCTATGATAATAAAGGAAAGTCTCTTAAGATTACATGCTGTAATAGAATGCAACAAATTTGCTAGCATTAAAGCCGAACATAATTCCAGATGTGGCAAAGATTGGGTTTTCATACATGAAACCTTCGTTTTAGATGTAAGTAAAGAAACGTTTGTATCTGAATTTTCTAAAATACATCTCACGTAAACCCCGCTGCAGTAAGCCTTTTCAAAACCATCACAGAATGCATGAATTTCTAGTTCAACACTTTGTGTTTTCAATACACATCCAGGTATTTTCACTTGGTGGATTAGAGGAAGTGCTTTGCGAAAGGATATCCATCTCTTTGTCATGTCTTTTGAGATGGATTGATCCCAAGTTAAGTTGTTTTTTCAATTCCTGAAGAAAGGTTTCCATAAATGTCACACAAGGGGATATGAAACCCAAGGGATCAAAAACATGCGAAACTTCTGACAAAATTTCTCTTTTTGAAAATGTCAATTTGTTTTCGATTGGTGGAACTGCGAAATTAAAACAGTCATCCTTTGTATTCCATTTAATATCAAGGACATTACTTCTTCATCTGAATCGACGTGCATCAGATCCTTTTCTTCCTCACTTGTTGGTTCTTTAAATATTGATGGAACATTAGAATGCCATTTTTTAAGGTCGAATCCATCTCTCTTCATCATATTCTTTAATTCATTAACTAGCTGTAGAGCTTCTTGCTCTGATGAAGATCATCAACATAGAAATCGTTAAGGGTAGCATCAACGTAGAAGATCAGAAAAAGATCATCAACATAGAAATCGTTAAGGGTATGCATGTGAAGCCAAAAGAAAATTGTTTTTCTCGTCTAAAGTCAATTGCTGCATAGCTCTTGTGGATAAGCATGGCCCTGATGTTGTGCCATAGGTGACTGTGAGTAATCTGTATTCTGTAACTGGCTCTTCAGGAATTTCTCTTCAAAGAACTCTTTGCCAGTCAGTATCCTCAGAATTAACCTTGACTTTTCTAAGCATTTTTTCTATATTGGCACTCACCGCAATTTGAAAACTTTTAAAACGAATAAGAATAATGAATAATTGATCCTGTATTCGCGGGCCTATCATTAGAAGATCATTCAAAGGTTGTCCAGATGATGGCTTGAAACAATTCTCAAAACAAAAACTCTCAGCCTTGTTGAAGTGCTCGAATCACGAAGAATAGCGAATTGAAGAAGGTAGTACGCATTTATTTTCCTTGAATCAGTACCATATGAACTAATGATAGATATTCACGCATATCTATATCATCTGTATTTTTTACTTTTATATCGTCTGTATTTTTTACTGTTGAAAGATAAGGAATTCTCCAAGTATTTTAATCTGCGGAGGGCAACTGTCTTGTAATCACTAAGTTGAGAAGGTGAGGTATAGAATGGCAACCTCAGGACATATCTTCCATCAATATCGCTAGAATGCGTAGATTTAAAGTGATCTTCACTAGCGTTTTCATCCTAAGAAGCTTACAGCTGGTACCTTCTCTAGTTTCCAAAATTTATTTAACAATTTATCACTGACTAATTGAATGTAATGAACCAGAACAATAGAATTTTTCTTACATGAGGAAACCCTGACTGCAATTTGCCATCTTAATTGAGACCGAACAGCAAAGAGCTTTTAGTCTTCCAATGAAAGTTTCTAACCTTTAAGCATTGGAAGTGCTATATTCACACTAAGAAGAATATTAATGCTACCAGTCTTGTAAAAGGTTGGATCCGTTAAGGTAAGATCTGTGAACTATTCGGAACAAGAAGGTTCCAAATTAACGTGTGAAAGCTGGTCCACTATTTTCTTGACAACATAGGCAAAAGTGCCAAAGGAAGGATTTGAAGAAAAATGATGAATAAACCAAATTTGAGAAACACCATTAGTACGAGTGCTTAATGCACCCAAAAATTAAATTATCACATTTGTTTTCTTTTTTGACAAACTCCATCTTTCTAGGTAATCGTTTG